GGAATCGGGATACGGGCAGCTGGCCGTCCCGGTCCACCGCTTGCGTCTCGTATGAAATAAACAGGGACCCGGGTCGTCCTTTTGTCTGTCAACACGGGATGGTGGCTATCGGCATCCTGTTACAGTAGGGAATAGTAAACTCAAGGCTTGGCCTACCTATAAATGCATTCAGTTTACAGCTTACCTTCAACTTGGTTGTTTTGCTCCCTTCGACAAAGGGACCTGTAAACTAATGTTCACTGAGAGTTTGCCTACTCTCGGAAGCCGACTTCCTCTAGCGCAAGGTCCGGTGTGACCCCGTCACACCAGTAAATTATTAACGATACGATACACCGTGCTAATGTGGTTGATCCTGATCCTGATACGTGTATGTAGTGATCCAGTATTTAAACATTTTGCATGTATCACCGTAAGCCTCGAGCTCCTGGGAAGCTCAGTTAGAAGAGCTGTATGGACAGCCTCACAAACATTGATCTCTTCCAAAAAGATTGCCTGTAGCCCCAGATCACATCACGCCACTCTAAATTTACACAAGTTAGTGACACATGTAACTGTGTTCGCGACGAGCATTAGTACACTACAGCTTAGTAGCTTGGTACATTGCTTCCCTAAGCATCAATACTAACTTAGAAGTTGGCGGCCTTGCCGCTCCCTACGAATCCGAAGTCATGACATCCATATTACAGCTCAATACATTACCTTTTGTTCCCATATGGTATCTTATCTGGCTCCTAGGTTTGGATCATACATCGTTATTTCCTACTTGGGGTTGGTAACTACTACATGTTATGTTACAGACAGCTCCTTAAAACGCTCTCCATCCACACCCGCTGTTCTCCTAGCTCATTTCACCTCCAGACAATCTGTTCTCCGCTATGGAGCACTTGGCTAGCCTGGGTCACGTCTGTTGCAACGTCTTCACCGGCGTTGTTACTGCTGCTTGACTTCGTGGGTACCCCTGTGTCTTCCGTTTTTACGCTGCAGGGCCGGTCCCAACAGCAGCCCAGGCATAAGTGCCGACTCGTCCGTGTTCGACTACTAGCACATGATGCAGAGTCCCCAGATTTATGTGTTTCGCATTGTCTTGCCACAGCGTGCACTACAGCGGTACATGTTCTGCATCTTTCAGCGCTACGTCACGCTTCGTTAATTCTTGGGCATTGCATATAACCGTTCCCTCATCGAACTCAGTGTAGCAACGCCAATAACCACCACGTTTTGGCTGTCATGAAGCATGACTAGCCGCGCAAAGTTGCATCCGCTAACGTCAACGGGATGCATCCATCGCCGCTCGTCCGACAGAATCAATTTCTTTGTTGCTCAGAAAAGGGTGTGGTAGGGACATCAATCATGCTAGACTGAATAGTAGACAGCGATCGGCCTTCATAGTCCGTTAGACGCCACCGTTAGCCAAGCATGGGCTGACAGAAAACTTCCTCAAGACAGTCGTCGGTAGCCGTGAAGCACACACTACGTTGGTGATTGACTCATCACGTAGGACCACATCGCACTTGTGCTGGGAGGTGTCCTTTCGAGAGAGAATATACTGGATGTCGCCAATGTCACACAAAACGCCACCAACATTTACTACGGTGTTCACAAGTGTTGTAGCTGAAGCTACAGCGTGCAAACGCTGCTGGGGTTTGACCCAACAACGGATGCACTCACCGAGCAGAGGTTTCGCCTCAGCGCGTACACGATGGCGTAGAGGTTTTGCAATTGTAGTGGGAAGATGACTTCATGCGAGGACGTAGGGGCTTTGCAGCTGCAGAAAGAAGCGAGGCTACAAAATCAACGGACACGGAGGTAGAGAACTGAAACACAAAGCTCATTAATATATTTATCTCTACATTTGCACCGAGTGACACAACAATACGCAAAGTGGTCAAGTTCCGGATTCCGGTGGTCGTGAAGTGAGCAGCATCGATATCAACATCATCTTCAATCGATTCGACTTGCTTACAAGCGTCAAAACCATTTTAAAATTGTGAGTAACAGAGATTTACTAACGCCGCGATGATCTGAGACTGCCATGGCTGAAACGAAAGTCTCTATTGATATCGAGGACACAAGCAGCAAACTTGTCCGCATTTTCGTTAAAAGTACCGGCCCGAATTTGTTCCCCGCCGCGCCGATAAGCTCAATAACTACTGTGGTCCACAACCATCGCCATGCGCCCCTTTCCAGTTTCGAGCTGGGGGGAGATAATTACTTGCACCCTGGTCGTCCACTCTCGGAATGTGGGTGACAACTTACCGAAAGGGTTACCCCTATTATTGAATTTGTCAAGTTTTGCCAGCCTAAACCCTTTTCTAAAAAGCGTTTGTACGCCCACCATCCCGATTATTAATAAGCTGAAATATTTCGCCAATCAGATGTCTTAAAACTTCTATATCATGGAACTCTTCCCAGCGCCAACAGTGGACGAGAATGAGGTGCGCTACTGCTTCTTCCTGCCCTCTTCAGCCCGACCCCAAGCTGAGCTCCTTCAAGCCGCAGAACAGCAGTGCAGCACCTACTTAGACTTCGCAGCTCAGCAAACACGCGATTTTTTGTGGCACAAACACCGTTTCCACCTCGAAGTGCGCGCTACCAAGACTGGGCGTTATAATCTATCAGGTCGTTCCAGCGTTGGTGATGCAGTTCAGGACGAGTGGGTCGTGCTAATGACAAGGCCGACTTTGGCTTTAACTTTAACATGCAGTCGTTGAAGGACTATGAATGCGTTCCTTGTTTATCGGCTAAGTTCAAGCGTACCACTTACAAGCGTGGGCCACGGCGGCGGAAGAACCCGCTGGAAAAGCTATCTGTTGATCTCTGCGGTATCAATCAAGACACGGCAACTGGAGAAAAGATGTTCATGCTGGTAGTAGATGAGGCAACGCGATACAAGTGGTGTTATCTGCTGAAGCGTAAAGACGAAGCAGCCAAGCTTATCGAAGAACTAGTATTGAGGCTCAACACTCAGCTCAAGCGTGCAGGACATTCAGTAACGTTGGTACACTCAGATCAAGGTGGAGAATTCGTGAACACCTACCTGGAACGGTTCTGCTCGAGCAAGGGCATTGAATTTAAGACTACGAATGCTTACTCCCCGGAAGAGAATGGGATTGTGGTTCGGGCCAATGGTATAGTGCTTCCAAGGCTACGAGCAGTACTTCATGCAACCAATCTACCGAACCTGTTGTGGGGTGAAGCTACTCTACACATTATAGACACACTGAACCTCCTTCCGACAGCTCCATTGAACGGGAAGTCGCCCCATGAACTGCTGTTCGGCACGGCACCGGTGCTGCGACACCTACGAACCTGGGGTTGCTTGGTACATGCGTACGTACCTCCTGAGACCCGTCCAACGCGAGCAAAGCTGGACCCGCGGTCTGTGCTCTCGATTTTCCTTGGCTATAGTACTACTACGACTGGATACAAGTTGATGGACCTGCGAACTGGAGCCGTGACTACTCGACGCAGTGGGAAAACTATATTTTTCATGAGAATTTTACTTTTTGGGAAAGGACTAACATTCCTTGCGGCTACTGCTGAAACATTGTTTTTCAGTGGGGGCCTATTAGGTTTTGGAGGATGTGATCCCGGTGGTGCCTCTCACATCTACACTTGAAGCCCGACTATTTCCCGAAGCAGGTAGCGCACCTGACGTGTCTGCGGCTACCAAATCAACCAATCTGCCTCCTGAAAAGGAAATCGGTAAGAATGCGGAGCCAGTGGAGGCTGTTGCAGCAACACCCGGAACTGAGTTGCAGCCAGCGGCTGTGACAAACAAGAAGAAGAAGAAGCGAAAGCGGCAAGTCTCTTCAAGCAGTGAGCAGGACTCCAGCAACGAGTACCAGCCACGATGTACGAGCTCACCTTCAGCGGAGGTACGAA